GAAGACCCAGCCTCAGGGCAGGAGACCCCCAAGCTGTGGGTGAGATGCTTAGAGTTCTGAGAGGGGTAAGAGGGGGGCATCCAGGCAGTCCCCAAATTGGACAGGCAGGATCAGGAGATGAAGATGGCTCCCCTCTCCCCACTCCCAGACTTCAGTTGCCATGACAACAGGGCCTACATTCCGGGTGTTTGTTGGAAATTTGCATTTTAATGGGATGTAATTAGAATTTAAAAGCTGAGGCTGAAAGGGACAGAACCCTCCCCATATCCTTGGGAGCCAGAACCCCCCTCCCAATCTCCACCTGACACTTTCTAGTGTCTGTCCCCACTGCCCAAGATGGGGACCCTGAGGCCCTAAGCAGAGAAGGGACTTATTCAAGGTCTCACAATTAGTCCAAGTCCCCCGGGGTCTGGGTTCCATCCGCTCTGCCTAAGGAATCCCCATATGACCTCCTCCCTGCTGGTGGAGTATAAGTTGACTGGGGGGAGAAGTGTTGGCTTGTTGAGGGCTCCCCAAGTCCTTTACTGAGTCTTCCAGGCTCACCCCTTCCTCACACTGAGCCCCGAGTTCACACCGAATCCACCTCCCTGCACCCGGCCTGGCTCCTTGTATGAGCTCCGCAGATGTTTGTTGAATGAATAGATGATTCAGTGATAGGTCCAGTGCTGAGCACATTCCATGCAGCCTCTCACTGCACCCTCCAACAGACCTGTGAAGGAGGCACCTCCAACCCCCACCAACCCCCCACAAAGCTCAGAGTGGTAATGTAACCTCCCAGGTCACACAGCTGGTGAGTGGCAAAAGCTGCATTTGAACAGACCTGCTGACTCCAGGCTCTTGAGCGTTACTTTCTGTGGCTTCAAACCACAGAAAGTCATGATCACAAGAGCACGGAATCCAGCAGCTCCATACACATGCAGGTCATGCACACAAACGTGCACACAGGTCCCATAGGCATACTGCTGGCCCACAGGGCAGTCGCTTATTTATAAACATATAGCGCTTACTCTGTGCCTCGTGCTATTCCAAGTGCTTCACACTCAATCCTCACAGCAACCCTTTGAGGCAGGGACCATTATTATATTCAACTCACAGATGAGGAAACCAAGGCACAAAAAGGTTATGTGACTTATCTAAGGTCACACAGCTAGTGAGTGGAAAAGCCAGGATTTAAACCCGCACAGCCTGTCTCCAGAACCCACGCTCCCTCTAGACCTCCGGACCCGAGCGGCAGGAGCTCTGGTTCTCCAGCACCCTCAGCCCTGGTAAGAGGGCTGGATAATACTTCTCAAAGCCCAGTTCACAGAGGAGCAAACAGGCCCAGAGAAGGAAGGCAGCTTGCTTTTGGATACACAGCTGTGTGAACCCAGGCTATCAACCCAGGGCATCTGTGTCAGCCCTGGGGGACCCCCACACACCTGCCTGCCTATCTCCCATACCACCCTATAGTCCCCTCTGCCACCCAGGGGGATGTTGATCCCGGACACTGAGGAAGAGTGACTGCCTGGTGACAGCGTGGTGAGGAGAAAACAAGATGTGAGACACAAGCATCACTTTTTAGAAAAGAAAGCTAGAGACTGGGTCAGAGCCAGAGAGACCCTGAGAGGGATGAAGGAGACAAGACCAATTTAGAACTAGACAGGGCAGAAAATGGATTTTCTCTTGAGCTCTCGTGTAAACGCACTTCAAAGCCACTGATGGCAGGAGTCGGAGGTGACAGGGAGAGAGGGAGACAGGCCTCAGCAATAATGCAGGGCAAGGCGGCCCAGAAAAGAGAAAGGGTGTGGACACATGGAGACGGAAGTCACCTGTGGGAAAAGGCAGCCGAAAATTCCATTTGGGTTTTCAATCTGAAGGTGGAGAGAGGCCAGGAGCTTGCGGGCAGGGGACTGAGGGAGGAGAAGAGATGGAAAGAAAGAGGATTCAGAGACAGGGAGTGGAGAGGACAGAGACATGAGTGACAAGAATCAGAGATAAAGACAGAAGAAAGATGGAGAGAGAAAAGCAAACGCAAATTACCAGAGCCCAGGTATCCGCCCAACACACAATTCAAAAAGGCCACACACACTCAACAACCACACACACACACACACACACATACACACACACTGATGCACACTCCTGCTCAGGACCCAGAGACCTTGGTTCTAGTGTTGACTCTGCTCTTGAAATGCTGTAGACCCTGCACAAGACCCACCTTCTTCTGAGCTTCGGGTCCCCCCTGAGGATTGGTGAGGTTAAGATGGTTCCAAAAAGGCCAGGGCATATGGGTGACAGGGGCTAGGAAGGCAGCAACCTCACCCTGATGTTTCTTCTATGTGGCCGAGGACCCCAGATGAGCAGGCACTGAGACCCAGTGCTTCCACTTACAGATGAGGAACCAGGCTGGAAGCAGCAAAGCAGCTCATCAACATAATGCAGCCAGGACAGGAACCGGCCAGTGAGACCCCATGACACACCCTCCACTAGGGAGAAGGACAGAGCAGGAGGGACTTACCCTCCCTGAGCCTGTCCCATCAGGGTCCAGGGTAGGCCTGGTACTTCTTAGGTACCCAAATGCAGGCACCTTATTCGTGCCCCAGCGGACATGTCTGTAATATCAGCTGCAAACAAGTCACTGGGCACTGACCCACCTGTTCTAGGCCCTTTGCTGGTATTAATTTACTGGCTCCTCACACCCACCTTGTTAGGAAGCTAAGCTTCATTTAACAGAGGAGGAAACTGAGGCACTCTCTGTTACGAAATTGCCTAAGGTCACACAGCCCCCTGCAGCCTCCCCAAGAGTGAGAGCCCAGCTCCCACCATGTGAACACTTTTCCAGAAGGAGGCCTCATCTCCCGGCTGGGCAACTCAGCCTAACGGCTCTGCCTCAGTTTCCCCACCCACTCCTCCAGGCCAGGCTAACAAGGATGTGTAGCCCGGTCTGGAAGGCTGCGGGGCAGGGGCGGCAGCAAGCTAGGGCCACGCGGGGCTGGCTGCAAAGAGCCAGCGGAGGCCCAGGGGTGTCCCGACCTCACACTCCTGCCTGGACACTCCAACCGGGGCGACAGCCGACCACTTCTCAGAATCGCGCGGCTCGAAAAGCTGTCCTGCGGCGCCGCCTAGTGGCCGAAGGGGCCGCCTGGCCCCGCGAGTCTCGCTGAGCGCCGCCGCCTGCTGTCCGGCAGAGCGCCCATCTGAGCTGGGGACGCTGCAGGAATCTTCTGGCCCCAGGCGCCTCTGTTCACTGGGACATTGGAATACAAAGAATTCCTCTACCCCGGGGACCGTGTGCTGACCATCCCAGGTCGGGAGGAGGAAGGGGATACGGTAGAGTTTGGTCCTTTGCCCTTCTTGATGGGCAAATTCACACATTCCATGACCACCTGGACCTTGCTACCCGCCTTCCTCAGGTGACCCAAATTCAACCTTCACCTATCTAATTTGTGCATTTATGAAGCGCTTACTAAATGCCACGCACTGTTCCAAGCGCTAGAGATATAACGAAGAACAAAACAAAGATCCCTGCCCTTGTGGAGCTTACGGTGGGGCATGGTGGAGTAACAGACTATAAAAACAAGAAGAAAAAACAAACCAATCTGGCTATTTTAGAAGCAGGAAAAAAGAGTCGTCTGACAACATCGCTGGGCTGAGGGCCTCCCCCCCATCCCAGGCCCTTAGGGCAAACTCATGGAGTCTGGACGCCAATTAGACTACCCTCCCTCATGGCTCCTCTGGGGCCACTGCTGTCCTAGGGGACACGACCTCATTACGGGGTCCTCCTGCTTAGGACTCTCCCCTTTCACATAGCTCCTCTTCTCCGCGGGTCTCCTGACTCCCAGGGCTTGCCGTCCCCCACCCAGCGCCACAGCGCTGCTCTCCTGAGTGGCTGGCACGGGAATGCAGTACAGAAACGCTCAGGCTGTTCTCTGTCTCGATTCCCAGCTTTGATACCACCTGTGTGACCTGTTTCCTCATCTGTAAAATGGGGAAAACAGTTTTTCCTACCTCAGAAACAGGGGTGAGTCAACAAATGTAAAGCACTTAGAACAGCACCTTGACATGATTTTGTTGTTATTAACGTCTGTTTAGGTGTTTCTCTCCCTCCTGGCCTAGCTGATGGAGGTTAGACAGTGAGGTTCATCCAGAAAGGATCAGCTGAGAGTCATCTGTGTCCCACACTCCACAATGTCGGGTATACAAAAGGCCTTCAGAACATGTTTACCCCGTGAATTCAGTGGTTCCTCCCCACACCATTCATTTATTTAGTGCCTTCTGCATGCCCGGTGATGCTGGACTAGGAGTTGCAGATAGAGTAATGAAGAAGACAAGAGTTCCTTCCTACTGCAAGAAGAGTAATTTCTAGGCTAGAAGTTCTCAGGTTTTTCTTTTGGTCTAAGAACCTCTTTACACTCTTTAAAAAATTCGGGATCTCAAAGTGCTTTTGTATATGTAGATATCTATTGCTATTTACCATATTAGAAACTAAAACTGAGAAAATGTTTAGATATTTAATTCACTTAAAATAACAACAACCACATTGCATGTTGACATTAGTAACTTTTTTAATGAAAATAGTTTTTTCCAAAACAAAATAGTGAGAAAACACTACTATTGTTTTGCATTTTTGCAAATATCTTTAATGTCTGGCTTAATGGAAGGCAGCTGACTTCTCATGCCGCACTCATCTGTGCGATATGTTGCTTTGGTTGACGTATATGAAAAAAAAATCCAGCTCAACGTTTTCCTTTTTCGTAAAAACTGATAATACTAACACACTGCCCCGGCCCCTGCCTCGCTAGACCCGAGAGGTTTGACCACTAGGCTGGGCTAATGGAAGGTTTCCGGAGAAGGCGTGGCCTGGAGAGCAAAGGAGCAGTTAGGCCGGGGTTGGACAACAAACGCATCCTTCTGAGCGTTGGCCCCTCCTCTGGCTCCCGCCCCTCTTCCCTCTCCGGTGTAAACCTGCAACCCCTAACGCATGCGTCCTAAGGAAGGTGCGCACTTCCGCCCGCCCTCTCCGGAACCTTCCCTTCCACCTCGGGTTTGTGCCGAGACAAGCGCTGCCAAGACGGAAGTAGAGTGGGGCGTGTGGGCGGAGCTAAGTGCAGCCATGTCGGCGGCCCTGCTGCGGCGGGGCCTAGAGCTGCTGGGGGTGCCCGAGGGTGAGGAGGGCCTGTCCGGGGACTTCCAGCGCGGGCATGAGAGCGGCAGGGGCTGGGGGTAGGATCCCGGAGTGTGCGGAACGATCCAAGCCGGGTTTAGCCCGGGTAGGATGGGAGCCTTGCGCGCCCTCCGACCCTGGTCCGTTTCTCTCTCTTCCCCTACAGCCCCCGGGGCCTCGGCAGGACCGGCCAAGCCAAGCGGGCCTCCAGGGAAACGGACCCGGAAGGCAAAGGTGACCCAGGCCGGGAAACTGCGGAACTCGGCTAAAGGAAAAGTGCCCAAGTCGGCGCTGGGTAAGCTAGGGAAGGGGCGCGACGTGCTGTGCCCGGCGTCGGGGTGTGCGCCATGGAGGAGAGGGCTCTTGAGACAGAACTTGAAACGTTCATCGGGCGTTTCTAGAATACCTACTGTGCGCCATGCGCAGAGCGGGGTCCTAAGAATACGGAATGAATGAAACACATTGCCCCGCCTCTCATGGTCTACAGCCCTGGTGGGGAGAGAGGCATCAAAGAGTTTCAAAATCAGCTAACTGATGCAGGCTTTGAAGAAGACTGCTTTGAGAGGGACTTAGAATAAAAGGCCAAATCAGATTTCTTCGAGGAAGCGACATTTAAACTCAGACCTGAAGGAACTATAGAGTGAACCAAGGGGAGGAGTACTCTAGAGCGAATTGTATATAGGGTCAGAAAGAAGTTTGTTACCTTTTGAAATTTGAAAGAAAGAAGCCTGGTAAAGGTGATAGCTAGTGAACAAGGGTCAGAGATGGAGCATTTAATAGTTAATAGTATGTGTGCCCCTCGCTGTTCTAAGCCCTGTACAAATGTTAACTCATTTAATTTCTCACAGCAGCCCTGTGAGTTCTGTACAGATGATGCAGGTGGAAAGCAGGCAGTGTGTCTCCAGAGCTCTGCTTTTACCTACTACGTCCAAGTGGGGGGCACTGTGGCCCGGGCAGTGGCAAGGGTACAGAGATAAAGAGAATTGTGCAGGTGGAAGGTGTGGTGAGGAGGGAGCATTGATGGGCTTCAGTGGTGAACTGGCTGTGAAGATGGAGGAGAGGGAGACACTGAGAATGGAACCCAGTTTCTAAAGAGCATCTTGGGGGTGCCACGTTATGAGACATCGACTTGGGGACAGGTGTGGGCAGGATGGTGGGAGGATGTGTAGCAGGACTTGGTGAGCTCCTAGTGTGTCTTTGAACCCCTAGGGCCTGGTGCATAAAAGGTGTTCAAATATTTGTTAAAAGAACTATGAATTCCAAGGAGGAAACCGCCCGAGCAAAAGTGTGGAGGCAGGAAAGTGAGACCCATTTGAGCAACAGTGATGTTGGTATGAAGCAGGAGCGTAGGATGCCCGAGGTCCCCCTAGCCAGCCCAGCCCTTGCCCCACCACCCTATCATGGTACACAGTTGACGAGTGAAGCGACTCTCAAGCCGCAGTGGCCAGACTAAGAACAGCTCTGTGGCTGCCACCTCGGTTTGACGTACATCATTTCTTGCCCAGATCATTGTGAAAGCCTCCTAACTGGTCTCCCACCTTCCACTTCCCCTGTTCCCTAATCTTATTGTAAGCATAGCAGCTGAAGTAATCCTGTAACAGGTCAGACCTGTCTCTTCTCTGCCCCACACCCTCACGTGAAAGCCCAAGTTCTTAGCGTGCCTGATGAGGCCCCACGTGGTCTGCCCCTTCGCCAGCTTCAGCTCCTACTGCTCTGCCCTCCCCTTCCAACCATTTTCTGGTCTTCAAATGCATTAATCACACCTCCATTTCAGGGACTTTGCACCAGCTGTCCCCTCTGCTCAGAATGCTCTTCCCCCAGATAGCCATCCTCTTCCCTCAAGTCTTTGCTCAAATATTGTTTCACTGTGAGTTTCTCAGACCCTCAGATTGAGAATTCCAACCCTCCATCCCTGGCATTCCTCGGTTTTGTTTACTATTCTGTTTTTATCTGTAAAATGTATCACCCTCGAAAATGCTGTTTGCCTTGTTTATCACCTGTCTTCCCACTGCCAGGTAGGCTCCATGAGGGCAGGAGTTTTTGCCTGTCCGTTTCCTGCTATACGCGTATGCTCTGCACCTAGAACAGTGCCTGATACAGTAAGCGCTCAGAACATATTTGTTGAATAAATCACTCAAGCAACTGGGAGCCAAGGGGGCTGTCAGCAAGCTCTGTGGAGAGTGGATTTGACAGAAGAGCGCCCAGGCTATTGGAGTAGTCAAGGGAAGGGATGTTTGGCAGGGGGGTGGGGAGGGATTGGGGAGATGTCAGGAGGAGACTCAGAAGGTGTCCACGGAGTGAATATGAAATGGTGCCACCCTGCCTACCATCCACAGCTGAGTTCCAGAAGCGAGAGCATCGAGGCTACCTTGGAGTGAACCTAAAGTTTATGACCAGTGCAAGAAGTACCGTGGCTGAGTCCATCACCCAGCAGGTTTGTCAGGGATGGGCTGTGAGAAGGAACCTGGGGGATGAGAGCTGAGGATATTTCTGCGATCCATGCGGGTCTCAGTCCTGAGCACAGGGTGGAGGTTGGGCTATGCGCGCCGCCGCCCCGCCCCCCCCAATGCTTCTACATTGCTGCGCTGTAAGGCGACTCCGCCCTGAAGGGCTGAGAACAGCAGGAGGCAGGTGTGAGGACCAGGTGAGGGGGCAGCACTTGGCCAGCTGTGCCAGGTTGTGGGCTCCAAGGGGCAGTCCTTTGTGCTGGGAGTTACCACCCAAGGATCCTGACTCCTGCACGCCCTGCAGATTGTGTGCCAGAATCGGGGTCGCAAGGCCTGTGACCGGCCTGTGGTCAAGAAGAAGAAGAAGGCGGCCGAGGGCACCGTGTTCACTGAGGAAGACTTCCAGAAGTTCCAGCAGGAGTACTTCGGCAGCTAGGCTCCCAGGAGGGCACAGTGGGCTAGGCACTCAGGCCCAGCCCCCTCCTCTGACCTCACAGCCTCTGCTGCACCCAGGACCCTGCCATGCATCCGGGGTCCAGCCTGCCTCAAGGAAGCCCTGGAGCTGAAGCCAGGGGGAGGCTGGAATGGAGCTGGTGAGCTGGAAGCCCTGGGGAGGATTTACACTCAGACCGGAGCTAAAACCTGCAGGCTTGGGAGGAGCTGTCTACTTGCCAGAAAGGAACATTTCTGTTTTGTTTGCTTTGGCCCAAGTGGGGCCTCTGGACTGTTTGCTGTGGAGAGACCAGTTACTGGGCCCTCGGGGGCCACACCTCTAGGAGTAGGAGGAGGGCTGCTGGGTGGACGTCCAGGTTCTAATAAATTTGGGCCCAAGAGCTGTGTGTGTGCTGCTGATCTGACTTAGTGTCTCTCATCTCTTCTGCCACCAAGGGGCCTTCCCGCCTTTCCCCATCTCCCGGCGTGGTTCTCAGAGCTCCAGGTCAGAAGTCCTCCAGTCCAGCCCCAGTACCAGTGGCCACCCATAGAGCAGTTCACCCTGCACCTGCTGACATAGCCCCAATGGGCCCTCCTCCCCTGGGGTGGCAGGCACAGCTGAGAAGGTAGCCCTTGAGGCAGAAATAGCCAGGGAAGCTGACACCAGGGCGTGCGGGAGAGGGAGTGCTGCCAGCCGTCTCCCAGGTCTTGTGAGCAGGGTTGGTGGTGGTGGTGGTGGGGGGGGGGGTCAAAGGCTGCCTTTTTTTTCTTCTCTTCTGTCACATGAATGACTGGGGTGACTCAGGAAGTATCTTCAAGAAACAAGGTTTCACACTCAGATCTGTGCCCGAGCTGGGGCTAAACTAGCATGGGAGGCAGAGGCTGGACCCTTTCCAGCCAGCACAGGTACATACTGACTCAATGTACAAGTGAGTGGGTGGTGCTGACCAGATTGGTCTTCAGTGTCAAGGAGACAAGTCCTAGAGGACTTCTGAAGGGTCCCCTTTGGCTGGGGCAGCTGGGGAGTGACAGGCTACCAAACACCACCATGGGTTCTTTGGAGGAGAGAGGGTTCCACACCCCCACCCACTGTCCTGGGGGCTCTGTTCCTGGTTATTAACCAGCTTTCCATCCTGAATGGGGTCAGCAGGGGCCACAAAGCTGCCAGAGGCAGAGCTGGAGTGGGTCCTGTCTGCAGTTGGCCTATAGCTGAGCAGAAGGAAGCAGACCATCCATCCAGGAGGTCAGGGCTTCCTCAGATGGGATTGCTCCAAAGAAGAGGCTGGTATTCCGCCTAGAATTCTCCACTCTTCTCCCTCCTGTGAGTTTTAATGACTCGTGGGAGAGCTACAAACGCAGCTATCCTTGGACACTCAAGGTTCCCTCATATTTTAAGCAGCTTAACAAGAACCTGGCTCAGCTGCTTGCTCTAGGAGTTTGCTTGGAAGGACAGGCTGACCAGCCACTGAGCTCCAGGGCCCATTTCTAACAAGGACACACCTGCTGTTACCTAGTCACGGGTTCCCGCCCCCTCTCGCTGCCTCCTGTGGGAGGGCGGGAGCAGGGCTTCTACTTCTCTGTGGGTTTTCCAGTACATTACGTTTGTGCCAAGGAGCAGCAGCAGGGTGCATGCCCATGCCCGTTGGTGTGACTAGTGTTAGTGTTCACCCCTGCGATTCTGGGCCTGGAGGTTTGGGTAGGACTCAGGAATCTATTTTAGAGAACAGTCACCCCGGACAGTTCTGGTGCCCGTAGTTAGGAGGCGGTGGGGGCCCTGGGGAGGCCGGTACTGGCTAAGGAGGAGGGAGGATGTGTCTGTCACCGTGTAGGGGAGAGGGAGAGGAGATGCTGACTGTGAGCCCCAGGATCTGGTGATTGAAGGCCTGGGAAAGAAAGGGACAGGGCCCAAATGAAAGGACAGGGAAGTGCACCTTCACTCCAGGACTAATAAGCTCAGGGAGGAGGAGGCCTGTCCCTTGAGACGTTGTGATGGAAATAAAGCAAGCACCTAGAAGCATTAGTGTGTCAGCATTGAGTGGGGTGGGTTGCTTCAGCCATCCACACTCCCTGGTCCTCTGTGACTGGAAGGGTTGGGCAAGGGACCAGACAGGAGTGGGGCAGGACTGCCCCGTGGGACCTCTCTGGGGCCAGCCAACCCAAAGGAGAGGTTTAACTCAAGTTCCTGCAGGAGCTGGTGGGGCCCTTCCGGTGACCCTCTAGCAGCTGGGGCAGGGGAGCCCTCTTGGAGAAGTGGGTTGGACTCATTCCCACCTCTAAGTCTTTGCCAGGGTTGGCTTTCTCGGGGTGCTCTCCCAATTCTCTCTACATCCACAACTTTCCCAATCCTTAAAAGCCCAGCTCAGGCACCTTTTGTTCCAGGCAGCCTGCTGTACCCTCCCACCCAGGGGTCCTTGCTCCATCCACTGAGGTCACCCAGCCTTGACAGCCCTGACTCCCAGCACTATCACTTTCTACTTGGTCTGAGGGTCCACCTGCCATGCCCAAACTGAGCTGAGAGCTTCCCCGCTGCATGGTGTGTGGTGCAGGGACGCTGGCACTAGGGGGCCACTGCAGGGGCTTGCTTTCTCCAGCCGGACCTCCTCCTGGTCTCTGGGCTGTCCTCTGCATCCTCCTTGCCATCCCCACCTGCATGTCTAAGGCATCTCCAACTACCCAGCCAAGACCGAGCCACCCCCTGCCAGCATCAGTTGATCCCAAACCCCTGCTCCTCCCTTAGTTTTCCCCATCTCAGGAAATGGAAACATCCTTCCACTTGCTCTGGCATCACCTCGGTCTCCTCACACCTCCCATGAGCCTGACTTACTTGACCTTCAGAATATATCCAGGCTCTGAGCAGCTCTCCTGCCTCCACCACCTGCGTGACCCCGGCCCAGTCCTCTCTCCCAGACAACTGTGGAGGCCCCTGCCCACCTACCATTCACAGGCTGCCAGAGGGACCCTCTTCAAATAGAAACCCTGCTCTGGGGGTTCCCTGTCATGCAGGAGACTGTCAAGTCCTACCAGGGCTTCGAGGTCCATGCCTGGTCGCCTGGTCCCCTAATCCCAACAGCCCCTGTGGGCTGACTCACTTCCTGCTGGCGATGCCTCCCAGGAGGGCCTCCCTAAATGCCCACCTTAAGGAGCAAATTGTCACGCCCAGCACCCCACATGCCTGCTCTCACTGCCATCTCACATCAGATGTCCTTTTGTTTTTATTGCCTGTCTCTCTTGCCAGAAAGAGCAGAGATTTTATCTGTTTTCCTCACCACACAGTGGGTGCTCATGAACAGCTGTAGAGAAACATGAAGGCCATTCCTGATCTTCAGGACCTGCAGCCTGTTCTAGGGACAAAACAGCACAAAATGCCAAGAGCTGAGTGGCCCCGGCCTATGGGCTCAGCACTGAACCACCAACACCCCCCATGTGCTGTACCAGTCATTACCTGTACCAGCGCCCAGCTTCAGTAAAAAGTAGAATCGTAGGATCCTCCTCACAGCTCCCAATGAGATGTATGAGCTAATAAGCAGAAAACACTCAGAGCTGTTCCTCAGAACTCAGCAAATATTCACTAATTGTAGAGAATTGGTATCTTGAGAAAGCGTCCACATTTGTAGTGATCTGGTACACACTTTAGCATCCACGTGTGATTTCTCTGAACCCCCCGTTTTTGTTTCAGGTGAACAAAGCAACAATAGACATTTAAACCCCTCATAAAGTGATAACACCCCCAAAGCTACTACCTCTCTAACATCGTCTATAGCTGTTACAATTCCATCGATGCTCTTCCCTGTGCTGTACTCCACATCCCATGACTATATACTTATATAGTTCATACTCATTCTACTTCAGCTTCAGGTGTGTAACGCAGTGGACACAGTCTATGATGTCATCCCCGATTAAGTCCAGTGCCCATCTGGCATCTTACATGATCTTTACATTGTTTATATTCCCCATACTGTATTAATTACCCATTTGTATTTAATACCTTCACCTCTTTCACCCTGCCCCTAACCTAAAGGTTAAAGGCATAATCTTAAAAGCAGCAAGAGAAAAGCAGTTCGTCACCTACAAGGGAGCCCCCGTAAGACTGGCAGCTCACTTCTCAACAGAAACTTTGCAGTCAAGAAGGGTGTGGCAGGAAATATTCCAAGTGATGAGAAACAAGGACACACAACCAAGATTACTCTGAAACCCCAGCTTTATGGCAAGTGTGCAGGACCCCCTCCAACCCCACCTGGAAGTTTTGAAGCCACATTGATTCCAAGTATGCATCCTGGAGTCAGACTGCCTGGGATTGAATCGACTACCTATAGCTGGGCAACTCAACATCTCCACACCCGTTTGTGTATACAATGGGGGTGAACTTTGTATGTAGTCGAGTTGACACTTTTTTAAACTAGTAAGTCCTCATGAATTTAACTGGTAACAGTTAAGCTGCTTAGATGCGGTGATCAGTGTGAGCTTGAGTTTTAATACCTAGATGGGTGGCTTCCCTGCTCAGTAAGATGTGGAGAGGCTCCTGGTTTTAATTCTACTCAGGGAAGGAGAAACCTAAGATGTCCACGCTCAAGGCCCAAGTGTAATGACCATGCCCTCTGGTGCCACTGGCTGTATTCTTTAACTACAGCGGGGCTGGCTCAGTTGTCACTCTATGCTAGGTATTGGGGAGCAGCTTAGGGAAATGTGGGCCCCCTCTTGCAGGCCCTCACGGGACTTCCAAGCTCTGCAATGGGAAAACAGACAAGAGCCCAGATTCTGGAGGTACATCCCTGGGTTCAAAGTGCTTTTACTGCTCGGCTCAAGACCTTTCTCCGTTACCCACTTCCTGTAGGACCTGAGATAGGATCATGAAACTTGCTTCACAGGGTTGTCGTGAGGACTGGGTGAGAATGCACATTAAGTGCTTACAGCAGTGCCAGGCACAAGTGTAACCCTCAACCCAGCCACTCAGGATCTAAGTTGCCTTTCATGGATGGGAAACAAGGCCGGCCCTTCCTTGAGAGTTGGTCCCAAAGGACAAGCGGTGACCTGCCCAGAATCGGCCCAAAACACGAGGAAGTCATCCAGTCATGTTAAGACCTAGGGTTGCAACAAGGCAGAAGCAGCTTCCCAGTGCTGCTCCTTCTGGACACGTCCTAGAGATGGCAAGTTTTCTAGCTGGCCGACGTGGGCAGGGCGACCTGGCTATCTGCCAGCCTTTGGGCCCAGCTCTGGCCAGGAACTAAGAAAATTGCAGGCCTTTTCAGCTTATGGCTTGTTCTAACAAAAACCAGTTGTTTTTCTCTGAATGTTTGGGAACTGACCACTACAGACAGTAACAGCTTTTAAGTGAAATCCAATCACCTGTGTGATGAGCTCAAGGGCTGTGGGGCCTCATCTGGGTATTTAACCAGATATTGGCTCAAGGCTCGATTTCGAGAACAGGCAGAGCCTAGGCTATTCCTCCCTGCCGCCCCAGTTTCCTCAAATTAAACTTCCCCACTTTGCCCTGACACCAGAGCTACTCTAAGATTTAGCACTTCTCAAATTCTGGGAAAAACACTCAGGTACCTGGCTCTACTGTGGGGGATCTAATCCAACCCCTCTGGCTCAAAGTCCACTGTAAGACACCTGCGGCCCTAACCTATGGCTACATATCATTCTGGGCTCAAATGTTAAGCAGATTTATTGCCCACCCCCTACTCCCCCATCAATCTAGTTCCAGGAGGGCTGACCAGGTTATTTACAAGGCAGTACACCAGACAGCAATTTGCCAAGTACTTTCACTACAAAATAATTTATTACAACACACAGCTTCAGGCAAGCCTCCTATGTACAAGCACCGACTACCCTAACTAGGGGGTCCTTTTCTTTCCCCTTGCCTTGCGGACCTCCTCTATCAAATCTTTCAGATACTGGATCTCCTTGGCCAAGGAATCTGCCCTCTCTTTCAGGGACTCATTCTTCTTTTCTAGCTCTTTACACTCGCCAGTGAGGGCCTCCTGCTCTGCCCTCTTCTTCTGGCGGTACCTAGTGGCTGCTGTCTTGTTCTGCTCCATTTTTTTCAGCTTCTTATCTAGCTTCTCACCCTTTACTTTTGCTGCCACGGTCTTCTCTCCAGGTGGGTCATAAGGTTTGGGGCGGGCAGAGCCACACTGGGCACCTGGAGACAGCAGGCTCTTATTTGGAGAGGCCCCGGAGGTAGAGGGGCTATGCTGGGGAGAGCCCACATAGGACTCAGGGCTCATACAGATGCCACTATCATTATCTGAGGTGGCATCCTCCTCCTTTATGCACTGGGGGATCACGGTAATGTATACAGTGGAGTCTGATTTCCTATCCCCTTCAGAGATATCAACTTCACTGCCTAGCTCTAAACTAAAGGAATGATCTGGAGTGGAGGACGGGGCCCCTGGTGAAAGGGGAAGAGGTTGCAGGAAGGTGAATGGGGCAACCTGGTCGGTTTCTGGTAAGCTTTCTGAAAGATGGCCAATTGGGTTCGTTGTCTGGGGGGGCTCCTTATTAGTCTCCTGGACTAGGGGGTCAAAGAGATCACATGTGTCATCCAACGTGGCCCAAAGCTCATCCTGCATGGTTTCCGGGTCATCAAAACTCAACAGAGCATCAAGGTCAAACTCCTTCAGATCCATTTTCTCCACCATCCAATCTGTCCCGGAGAAGGCATCCTCTGCAAAAAATTTAAGAGGGACGAAACAAATTCAGCCAAATGAACAAGGCAGCAAGCCCCTATGGCCAGACCGCACGGGCAGATAAAGGACACCCACTCACCCTTGCCGTTGTCTGAGGCATTGACCAAGCCATCCACAGCCAGCCATTCGGAGGAGCCCGCCTTAGCCTTGTCACTGGAGAATCCACGAGATTTGAAGTGCTTGGCCACCTCCAGGTAGTCGTCTAAGAGACCTAGACTTTCTTCAGCCCCCAAACCCGACTGGTCGAAGGGGGACATGAAGCCCCCCACGAACACCTCGCTGCTCAGGAAGCTCATCTCGGTCATGCTGCGGGGTTTTGCTGGAATCGAGGAATGTGCTTAATTCGAAGGTGTCTTTGTCCGTTACAGCAACGCTGCTGCTGGATGCCGTGAAAAGCCTGAATAAGAATAGAAAACCAAGTCCCATTAACGATCAGCCGGTCTGAGAATTTCATCTTTTCGCTCCTGAGGCAGGATGGCCAAGCCCGAACTCTACTTGGCTGTCCAGAATCGGGAACACGTGGCCCCAGAGCCATTAATGTCGACCTTCCCTGTTCCCTGGTTAGGCGGCACAAGATGGACGCCCTTGGAGCTCGGCCGTTCCTCAGCCCGCCACAAGAGGAAGGCTCTGCATCCGCACGTCCATATACGGTCGCAGCTGCCCTGCCCCCGCCCGCCTGTGACTCACACCGCGCCGGCCGCCGCCCTGCCCCGCCGCCATCTTGGTCCCTGCCACGTTTTGCTGGGCACCAGGCGGGCCCCCGGCAGGTTCCGAGACCGCAGAGCAATTCTTCCCCCGGCGCCGCGCCACGCACTCCCGACTCAGGAGTGCTGGCGTCTTTGGAGTCACCCGGAGGCCACGCGACCAGGGCGCTCATAAAACAGCTTCCCCCTCTGCGACGCCGCCCGGCTGCAGGCGCGCCCAAGCGGGCCAACCCCTCGCCCACCCATGAGCGCACGGCTTGAGCGGCTCGGCCCGGTACTTACGCCATGGCTTAAGCCGTTGGGGGGATGCCGCTGCAGAGCCTGGTGCTGCTGCCGCCGCTGCAAAGCCCAATGCTGCCGCAAGCACGGCTGCCTCTAATGCGCCATAGTGGCCGCAGATCCGCGGGAGCGGAGGGAAAAGGCACGATCACGAAGTACACATCTGCAGGCGGGAGAAGAAATGGCCGGAGTACGCCGACCGCGGGTCCTTTATAGATTTTTGCCTCTACGAGGACGCATCACCGAGCAAATTCTTCCGCCGCGGTCACGTCACCTGCGCCTCCGCCCACTTCTTTTCATCTATCCGACGCCCTATCGTTTCCAACCAACAACTTTTTCGGCCAGGGTGTAGCTCTGAAAAGGAGTTATTTTCAAGGTCTCAAAAAAGGAAAGACGCACTACTTTACAAGGCTTCTAAGATCAAAGAGTCACTGTTCCCTCTGCAGCTGGGGAGCGCGGAGGGATCCACCAGACACGCCTAGCTTCCGGTGTTAACTGAGAGGCGGGTAAAGAAGTCTTTCATCAAGGAAGGTTTTTATTGTGAAGTCTGAGGCCGCCTGGTTATCGCGCGAGATGCCGGCGCAGAAAGCGCTCGAGCTGATTGGTCAGGTGTGGTGAGTCATATATTTCTCGTGTTTTTATTGGCTCAGGCGCTGAGGTGGGTGGGCTGTTCGGTGAGATAGCTCAGGGTCCGCGCGGGAAGGGGCGGAGCAGTCGATGTGTTTCCCGGCCGAGGTCTCTTGGCTCATTCTTCTCCGTGACGCTCTTCTGAAGTGGCTTCAGTAGCTGGCCATGACGGGCTGTATGTAACCCAGTGCGTCCCAAATAATGGTGTCAGGCCCCAGATCCTGCGGCTCCTTCTTGCTGCCTTTTGCGAAGCTCCGAGCTACTGACCAGGTTGAGTCCCGAAGATGAAACTAGGCAAAAGGAAATGTCATTTTGTGTGTGGTTTCACCATATGCAAGCCCTTCAGTAGCTGAAAGGGAAGCCTGAGGACCTCAGTTGCATCGCCTGAACCATGCACACCTACCATCAAAGGCCAGCTCTGCGTCGTTACTCGACTTTGTCAAGTTGAGCTGGAAACGCAACTATAGGATGCATAATCCTATAGCCCAACCTTCTACATTTTTACATATCCATTCTGCTAAATGTTTGCTAGTCTACTAAAGTATACAGCCTATCACAGGGGAACTTCTTTTGGTTTATGAAGTTCAGTTTCTCTAAGAACAGGTAGTTTTATTCAACTGGGATCTCTCACTTCTAGGGTAGTTGCAACAAACTTCCAATCCTGTAACTCCCAGGCATAATCACTTCCCAGCAAGTCCTTCTAATGACTGAGGAAGAATGCAGACCCACTCGGGGTTCCTGTGTTTGGAAGCAGCAGTCTGTGTAAGGGCCAGCAACTTGCTTTCAACTGGGGAGAGGTTAAGAGTGCTCTCTCTGCCATTTTCCAATCCCCTCAAGTCAGGCACTGTAGGGAGAGAAACCTTGAATTTCTGCCTCCATTTCAGTGGGCCATACAAATGCATTTCTGTGAGGGCTGTGACGTCAAAACATTTGGTAAGCACCATCCTAGAGAACTACAGACCATTCATTGACTTCGTTCATCTAGCTCAGCGATTTCTTAGTGGTAATCTGAGAACTAATGGGGTTGAGGTGTTTTGCTCAGTCACAGAGCTCCCAGTGAAGGCAGCATGGGGCAGGAGTTAGAAGACAGATTTTAGGGGCAAACCTACAAGTCCTGGCTCTTGCATTTATTAGCTGAGACATTTTGGTTAAGTGACTTATCCTCGCTGAGCCTGTTTCCTCATCTGTAAAATGAGGCTAATGAGTAGCCTTATCCTTAGAATGAAGTAAAATCAGTTGTGTGTAAAGCACTGAGTGAAGTGCCTGGTGCCTGATAAGTGTTCAATATATGATTACTTTTAGAACTCGGGTCTTCTGACCCCGACCTCCCAATACCCACTTCCCCATCTCCATTACATCATCCGGCTTCCTCAGAGGACTCCTATTTTTGACTGAGATGAAACCAACAATTGTAATCCATGCAAAGCATACTGGATGCTGGGATATGTGTGGTTTTTCTTTCCCTTTGGAGAATCAAAGTGTCAAGATACACAGTTGTCTAGTCTTTCAGTGCAAAAGCAGTAGGAACCCCTGAGCCACTACTTAAGTCTTCCAAAGGCATAACTAAGGACCCACGGGGCATGGCCTCCTTCTACTGTATGGAGACTTGTCAGTGGCTCCTGAGGGATGACCAGGCAAATAGTTGAGAATTAAAGAAAGTAACACTGCCCCAGTTTTGACACTCTAGAGGTCATGGAAGAATGAGTCTAATGGCAGCTTGTCCCATCCATTCTATTATGGAGACCTAGATCAAGCACTTCAAAGGTTCTTGCTGAAATGAAGAACCAGTACCACTCCTGTAGGAAAACGTTTCATACCACACACACAAGTCAAAGCTGTTGGAAAGGAGACTTTTATTTTCTTCCTCCCATGCCGTGGAAGGACATCAGGTTCCCCAGCTTCATTTCCTCCCTCACGGAGAAAAAGGACAGCAGTTCTCTGGGTCTCAGGACTAAGCTGCTTCTCTATGGAGCTAACCAAGACAGGACAGAGAGACTGGCGACTGATTCCAAACCTACCAGCCAAACATATCAACTGCTACTGAAGGGCAGGCGAGTGACTAGAAGGTAAGTTGTGGACTTGACCTCAGGGACTAGGAATTTAAAGACTAAAAGGTAATCAAAATGAAAAGGTAAACACCACACTGTATGCAGCTAACTCCAGAACCCACGTCTGGTATTTTGGCCACTTAGAATCAGCAGTGTCTAACAGGGCTACAGCCTCACGGCTCTAGTCCTAAATACCTCTTACCATTCTCTTTGGCCTTGAGCTTCAGCAGGTAAGGGAGAGTTCTAACAAAGCCTGTGAGAGCAGACATTCTCAGCCAGGGTCATCATCTCAAGGAAGATGTACCACGGCAGAGGACACTGGACACATGCAGGAATCCCTACTTACAGAAACCCGCTGGGGCCTCTCCGGGGCCTTTTGATGCTGAAGCTGATTCCTCATCAAAACCATTTGAGCTCTCAACTTGAGTGGAGTACAAGGGAGCAAACTGAGCTAATTGGGAATGTGAACCGGTGGACCAGCAGGGGCAGAGACCCATGAGGAAAGACTATGGCCTCAACACAGCTTTTCCAAACATGAGCTTCTATTATTTTATTTGGGGGGAGGGAAAAAAAGTCACTTTATACCAAGTGTATAAAGAAAAATACTGTTGTCCTGAAGTCATTTTTAGGAAGGGGCGACAGGGAGAACCAAAATACACTTTGGAATTGATTAGGTTTTCAAGATGATAAGTATATTTTTTAAGCATTAGGCTAAGTGATTTGCTAACCTAGATGGTGCAAAAAATATTCCAGATGGAGAAGTAGGACCAGATGCTATTACTTCAGGAAAGGTGAGTTACTGAGTAGAAGGGCAGAATGGAGGGGAAAGGCATTACATCTTTCTCCAAAGATTGGGGGCAGGGGGCAGAATGTTGCCCTCTTCCATCTAAGACTCTCAAAGCACTTAACCATTTTCCATGTTTTACGATCAGGCCGGCCCAGTCGGTCAGCAAAACCACCTGGACCAGGGCCGGGAATTCCCGCTGCTTCTAGTTCTGAGGACTTCTAAGAGGTTCTTGCTTATGACATGGCAAAGTTATGGTTTTTGGTTTTGTGAAACATAGCTAAGAGACAGGGAGGCCCTTAGAAAGATGTTCTTTAAGAGGAGATAAACTCAAATCACAATTACACTTGGCTTTGATAATTTGGGACTTGATCTTTCAAGTCTTTTCCTTTTTGAGCTCGCCAATGTTTTATATGGAATGTGGCTGGAGACACCAGCTTGGGGAAAATTGCAGGTTTTATAATACACTGGGAAAGCCAAACCCTTTATGTCAGTGAAGAATAACCCATGCTTTTGCAACACTTTCTCAGCCTGCCCGTCCCTCCCCTCTACTGGATGCCATGCCACGCTCCACCCCGTACCCTCTACACCACTCACCCAGGGCAGCACTCGGGCATACAGAGATTTTCAAACTCCAATTTGATTCTGATGAACAGCCAGGGTGGAGCATCTTTCTCAGGGTCCTGAGCTTTATATTTTTCATTCTCTCTCAGTACCTTCCTACAAATGGAACAACTGAAGCACTTTAAGAAACCCTTGCAGACACAGAAGAGGCAGGAAGACTCCCCAAACATAGCCAAGGTTAACCCTAGTTCTCAGCCTCCTAATCCATGACAAAAGGACAGGAATCTCTACCCTAAATTCCTAGAGGGCAGCTGAGGTTTCAGTTCTATTTAAAGAGTCATTTCATGTCACTGTCGTTGGGAAGGAATGAGACAGCTGCAAAGAGCTTCGCCAGAATCTCAGTGATGGAGAGGTAGTAAGAATAGAAAAATTAAGACTTGATGGGAGGAGAACAAAACACTGGGTGGGCAGATAAGAAACAGAATTATCATCAGGCTCTTGCCACAAACAGGAAAAAAAAACACAAAACAAGAAGATGCAGTGGCACTGTGTATTAAACACTCCTCCCCACCCTCAGGATACTTTTTACATTGCAATAAATAGTGCAATTTTAGCAGCAGGAAACAGGAAGGAACGTAGGAAATCCCCACCTCCCTCTCATATGTGTTTTATCCATGTGCTCTCTTCCTAGGTAGCACCGATCTCCCTAGCTGCTGGGTGATTGGCGGGGGAGGGGAGTGTCTGTACATGTTTGCTTGCCCTTGGCCTCTGGAGGTGCCTGCAGAGTTCAGCGAACAGCCCTCTCACATTCCTATGGCAGACTGCTCGGCCTGTTCTTGCTCTAAGGCAACATCCTAGAAAGACATGGCCTGACAGGGAAGAAACGTGTCACCGACACCCAACTGGTGACTGGATTTTCTAGCTGATCTTCAGCCGCCTGTCACCTCCCTGTCACCTCCCTTGAACCTAGACCGTTAGGGCTGTGTCCTTGAAGGCCTCGCCCTAATTGGCAATTAAGTCAAGGAAGGGGGCAGATGAGCACTCCTGCAGAGGTGCTGCCTTTGCAGCCCCTTCCCGCCCTTGTGAATCCGGCACCCAGTGGCTTTGGCTGGGACCAGCCTGGATGGGGTGTAGACATCAGGCACATTGACCCTCTCCCAGGCCCCCTTTACCACCCCTAGTTCCCCCACTCTGCACTCACTGATGGCCACTAAGAAACACAATCTCCAAATCACTTTGCATCCAGTTTATCGTGAGCCCTCCGTCCTGTGTGGCTGAATCAGTGTTCCCATGAAAGGCCTTCTCAGCACTTGGTCAGGACGCGGGGGAATGGGCGTCTTTTCCAGGAAACCGGGGCAAAGGCCAGCTCCTCCCCTTTACCCCCCAGAAACCCTAAATACTGTCTGAGTGCTCTGTGCAGAGTTGAGCCTGGAAACAGGCAATCATAGCTTCAGTAACATTCAACTAAAAGGCAACATCTTGATTGGGCAGGTGTGCTCCCGGGAAAGGAGCAAAACAAAAGGTGTGAACAAGAGGAAAACATAGAAAAGACACCAAGAGGAACAGGTCAAAAGGCAAGGCAGAGAAAACGGGGGCCACATGCAAAACACCAAGTGGTCTCGACAGCCCAGGCTAGCGCTCCACCTTTCAATTCATTCCAGAAAAGTCAGCTTGGGACAGAGGGAGGAGAGGAGTAGGGAGCACAGTGTTTGGTAACAAAAATAGAAAGGGTTGGGTTTGAGAAAATAGATTAAGAGATGTCATTCTAATCAGCATGAAGTGACCAGGGCGGTGACCAGCAAGACAGGAGGCACCTAGGGACCCAGTGAGGCACCAACTATGGAGCCAAGTGTTTCTAACGGAGGAGAAGCCGGGGCCTGACCACCTAACCCCCACTCTGGCCTTCAGCTGCCCTACGTCTGCAGCAGCACCTCCGGCTCAGACAATGAGCAATAGAGTGTGTACCCTAACTCGTCTATTTCTTCAGGCGTGAGCTCTGCAAATAAGTTCACCTTGGGGTTTAGGGCACTGGGCAGCACTCCGGCCTCTAGGTACCTGATAAGTTCCCTCAAGGCCTGCAGGAAGCGGTCAGCCAGCATATCTGGAGACCAGTCAGCCTCCTCCTGGGCCAAGTGGAGGATGACGTTGGTGAGCTGGCTGGCAGTGAGGTGGCCCAGGGCCGGAGTAGACTTGCATATGGCCTTGAGGATCTTGAGGCAAAGAGAGCGGCAGCCCAAGTCGGCCTGGTCCAAAGCCCGCAGCCGTGCCGTCTCAGCAGGACGCAGGCTCAGCCGCCACAGGTTGTCATACTGGGCTAGCCGGTGTGGTCTGGCCACCAAGACAGTGTCACCGAGGGTCACTGATGGCAGGAAGTCAATGACGAGATGTTTGTCACGCTCATACTGCACTTCCAAAGTCAGGGCCTCTGGGAGTGGCGCCGGTCGGATCACATAGTCCAAGAGGGACCCTATGGCTGGCCAATTGATGGAGCCAGCCACGACCTTCTCAAACGTGTCCGCCACTGTCTTTGGGGAGAGGTAGCCCCCTACTACACAGCGGTCCCAGTAACTGCTACCACGAGGAAAATACTCTGGGTTCTCTCGACGAACCAGGAAGAAGCCAGGGACATTCATGATGGTGTCCTCGCCAGGGATACACGACCACAGGTTCTGCTCCAGCACAAGGGGCACGATGAGTTGGATGTGGTCGGCTGTCACCACCTGTCAGAGCAAATTACAAAGGCTTTGAGGGATTTCATCTGCGTAAGAGACAAGCTGCCCCAAACATCGGTCCCACTATCTTGTATTCCCCCCAACAATAAAAGAACCTAAGAGTTCTTTCCTGTCACTGTATCGATTCAGATAGAGGATTTAAAGCCAGGGCTGTCGGACACCAGCGCCCGTGCTCATTCCACATGCCACGCCGTCTCTGGGTACAGTACACAGGACATCCCCCAAGTCCTGAAGGCCCAAGAAGAGAGAAAAGTAGAAAGGAGAGATGGGGACAAGAATACAGAAAGGAGGCGGCATCTTATAGTTTCCTAGAAGTTTGTGGGTATGACTAAAAACCAAGAAAGGGTTAAAGACGGCCCAAGACAAAGAGTTCTAACTGCTCCCACAGGGTGCAGAATTCATGTCTTTCTGGCAAGCCTGGGACACTAACGGTCTGTACCAACAGCACCATTGAGCAGCATCTGAGTCAGTAATCAAGCCTACCCTTCGAGAGAGCCAGCTTGTTACCTGCAGGTCATCATAGAGGCTGCCACTCAGGTACATGTCCCGAAGTGGCATGTCAGGCAGCTTGGCCCGCAGGAAGCCCCGGAGCTCGGCACATATGTCCACGGCAGCTTGCTTGGCCCGAGCCTGCTCACCGGCAGGGATGGCGGCCCGGTTCCGGTAGTAAGAAAGAAGTTTCTCCTGCAGGGACATGCGGAGTCGTGACTTCTTCAAGTCTACCTGGCCCTTCCTGGCCAATGGCTTGGGCCGGGGTGGGCAGAATGTATCTGCCAAGGCAAGAGAGAGAGGCACGTGAGCTCTTCCCGTGCGTCTTCAGCCCCAGGAGGAAGGAGGGCTTGGCACAAGGAGGGCAAGTGCTAGCACGGTGCCTGGCATATATGTGCTCAAGAAATGCCTGCTGAATGCAGGAGCAGTACTGGGAGGCCACAGGTAAGTCCCACAAGGGGCAACAGGCTTTCTCACCTGTGTCGAAGGCCGAGGAGTCTGTGGGAAGGGTCTGCAGGGAGCGGCTCAGGCCTGTCTTCATGTCCTTATTCAGCAGTCGCGGGGAGCCCATCCAGTTTGGTTCCTCCCAGCTCCTTTTCCCGGAATGGCTCAGGCGGGTGGGGCTGGTAGGGGCGCTGATGGCCCTATCGTACATCTGAAATCGCAGAGAGGCCCCCACATGGACCTTCCTTCCTGTTTTGCCCTGGTGAGTTCCAAACTACTATTTTTCAGTACCTTTGTTCTAGTCTAAACTATGGAATACTCTTCTCCATGTAGAAAAGCTCAGGAAGTACTAAATGATATACATAAGAAACAGATCTATCCATAATGTCACAATCCAGAGATAAATGTTAATATTTTGGTATATTTCTGGAAAAATATATTTATGTAATTAGAATCCTACTTTATATATACTTTTGAAACCTAATTTTTTTCACTTGCCATGTTTATCATTTCCCCATATCACTAAAAATGAATAGGTCTTCAACATTATGGTACATTTTCTGACTATACAACACTGTATCTTATGAATGTAATGGTGAACAATGATTAATGTAACACAGATTAATTGAGTGGATACTATGTGCCAGGCATTGTTCTAGGTACAAAGAGTAAAGCACTAAACAGAGAGGCCCACTCCATGCCCTCATGGAGTTTTCTGCCTAGAAAAGAGACACAGGCATAAACATAAACAAGTTAAATATAAAGTATGCAGACAGAGATAAACGTTAAGAAAAAGAGTAGGAAAAGGAAATAGGAAGTGTATGTGTGGTGGGGGGTGATGCTATTTTAAATAAGGTAGTCAAGGAAGGATATTTTTGGTTAGTTAAGACTTTTTACTGGCTGGGATAAGCTGCTTTATTTGTATCTCCAACGATTTCTTTAGGGCAGAGACCTAGCAGCAGATGTAACTGAATTCTCTTAAGGTCTCATCTAATGCCAAGTGCCCATGTCCCAAGGAGCAGTGTCAAAGCTGTCATCTAGGTCTGCTCCACTTTGCACGGGCAGCCTCCCACCTCTCCCACGCCTGGCCCGGGCTGCAGGCACTTACCCGCTTAACTGCCAGTGTAGCGATGCCCAGCATGGCTGCTCCACCCACCCCCAGCACCAGCCGGGCATTGGAGAGCACAAAATCAATGGCGGTGCCGATGCCATTGTCATCCTTCTTGCCTTTGCGCTCACCGGCGCCTGCCATTGCTCACCTGAGGATGAAGGCAGAACACAGCCATCACTACCTGGGACCTGGGGAACTGTCCCTCTTATCTCCCTTATCAGGCCAGTCCCCAACCAGTTCAGGGTTCTGTGAGTTCTGGCAAATCCTCCTGCCTCTAACACCGCAAGCTCTAGAGTCAAGAGGGCGATACCATGTCCTGTGATGTATCTGGATGCAAGGGGGGAATGGATCACGCTTACTGTGGGACCACCTCTCCACTAGTCTACTGAGACTACAGAAAGCATTAAGCTTATTTCAGTCCTTTCTTGCATTAGAGTGAAGTACCCCACCAAGCCATACAACCCTCTCCCTACCCCTCCCCAACTTTATAATGCAGACTGTGTTTTGATCCTTTGGCCACTAGTTCATGGAAGGTTAGATCTGAGTTCTAATCTAATAGATTAGAGGAGGCTCATCTAATCCCATTACATCACTTCACACATAGGGAGGTAACTTGCTTAGAGGTCCCAGACAAAGGAAATGGCAGAGCCACATCCAGAGCTCAGGATTCCCGACTCCTAGTGTGATGCTTTTTCTACTGTGTCATGTTTACCTTCACCCACATCAAACTCTTCCTAGTCTATCTACTTTCCGCAAAAATAAAAACCCCACAAAATAACATGGACGAAACACCCTGCACACGGAGACATGACTACAAGTCCACATGTGAAAAAGGTCCAAAGAAGAAAACAATCCTGGGCCGGCCGAGTGGCGCGATGGTTAAGAACTCGCTTGGGATGCCAGAGGGCCCCGGTTCGGATCCCACATATGAAGGCCAGTGACAGGCCAGTGACACTGCCCTCTACAGCTAAGATGCTGAACAACGGCTCAACCTGGAACTGGGCTGCTATGAGTCGCCAGTGACGGCGTGGGCTGCAGTCCCTGTGGCAGTGGGTTGCCATGGGCTACCGTGTGTAGCCAGCAGCCAGCGTGAGCGGCCAGCAGCCGCAGTGAGCGGCCAGCAGCCGCAGTGAGCGGCCGTCCAGAAGCCGGCAACTGATCTGCCTCACCCGGGAAGAGCGCAATGATGGTGCCAACTTGGGCCAGTGAAGCAACATCCTCCACAACTAGACTGAAGAACAAAATGACAGCAACTTGTCTGTCCCCCTTCCCCCAATTCCCCAGCACTGTTCCCATCCCCCCAATTCACCAATAAAAATCTTTAAAAAAAGAAAGAAAGAAAGAAAGAAAGAAAGAAAACAACCCTCTGTGGATACCCCCACCTGACAAATGCTGTTTCTTGGGGGAAAGTGTGCAGGGGAACCCCAAGAAGCTCAGATGAAACTGCTACTGTGAGCCTGAGAATAAACACAGAGGATACTGCAGACTTGGCTGTTAACTGAAACACAAAAAACCCATGTGCTCAAATGCACTTGGAAAATGAACTAAAAACGTGGCTACCCCAAAGGAGCCGATGGGCACAGCACAGAAGAAGCTGGCCTCCATATTGGTGCTCAAGAGAGGCCAGCACACATCTGCTCCCAGGCAATGGACTCATCCTGACTGAAGTTCCCCTAGTCCCCAAATAAGCCCATTTCCCATGGAGTTAGAACCCTGGGCCCAACCCAGGTAAAGGATGGCAAAGTGGTTCAGATCCGAACACTGCTCTTAACACTGCTACTCTCATCTACCTCCTGTGTCCTGTACACCAGGAATTACATAGGGGAAAACACAGTCATATAGTATTCAGGGTCCCAATGGACCCAGAATGGGTCCAGGACCACTGGGTGCATCTTCCAGTGTGAAGCAACATTCTTTCTAACACCATGTTACAATTGGGGATTGCTAATTTCCCATCTCAAGCCCCACCCTCAAAAAAAGAGAAGAAACATTTCTGACTCTACTTATTCCAGCAATCGAGTTATCTAAGAGTCACTGTCAAGTCCAAAAATATTTTTTTCCTAACTAGAGTTTACAACCTTGGTGGCCTTTTCGTCTCTCCACCTTTTATAGTCAATAGACGTTTCACATTTAGGGACATATGAGAGACTAATTGGCCAAATGAAATATATTCCCACTTCAAATGCAGAGCAAGCAAGGCCAAGAAAAGTCCAACTTTGTATTTACAGGTGGGTCAGGCAAGAACACTAGTTATCCCCGCTCCAGTGGACACTGAGACAGAGGGGACATATCAAACTCAGCTGAGGCAGAGTAATCCAATCAGGACCATGCAGAACATTATATGTTCCTACACAAAACAATGATCACTGTTTTATTATTTTTAACACAAAAGAACCTTTACTGATATATTTACAATAGGGAGAAGAACCACTGGATGCAGGCACCCTCTAATTGATCCTTGGACGTGATGCGGCAGACAAGACAGGCACATCCTCCCTCTGAGCACAGGCCAGAAGGAACCTCCCTGGGCCATTTAGTCCTTGGGCCATCTGATGACTGGTAAGAGCATGGTGGTGATGTGGCAGAATAGAAAAGAGCCTGGGTTTTCAAGTCAGAAATCTTGGGACTGAGTACTTGCCTTTGAGCTCTGCCTTATTAGCTGGGTGACCTCAAATGAGTTACTTAACCCCTCAGCTATGAAAAGGGGCTAATGATACCCACATGACCTAAATCATAGGGTTGTAGTGAGAAAAAAAATCTACTAAAATGCTGTATGTGAACACTTTATAAAACTGCAAAAGTATTGCACAAACATCAGCTATCATGCAATCTTTTCCACCCACAGGACAAAAGGCCAGCTTCCAGAGGCAGTCAGCAATCCAGGCTGTCCTCTGAGTTACATTGGACCTTCTGAGATGGGGCTAAAAATGGCCTCTAAATCTCACACTGATGCTACCCTGGGCTTGAGATCCAAACTGTTCAATTGAGCAGGCTTGTGAAAAGGCTTTTCCTACTCCAGCACAATACACAAGATGCTCACCCCCATCCAAAGACCACGTGATGTCAAAGGCCTGGTGACCCAGAAGAGGAGAAAGCATCCACAAGCTCCAACAGGGAGATACAAGTTCTTATTTTAAAACTTGGCTGGGTAGGCTGGGTGGCACAGTTGGTTAGAGCGCGTGCTCTTAACAACAAGGTTCCCGGTTTGATTCCCGCATGGGATGGTGGGCTACGTGTCCCCCAACCCCGCAACTAGATTAAAAGTAGCAAATGGACTTGGAACTGAGCTGCACCCTCCACAATTAAGACTGAAGGACAACAACTTGACTTGGAGCTGATGGGTCCTGGAAAAACACATTGTTCCCTTCCCCAAATCCCCAATAAAATCTTAAAAAAAAAAACACTTCGCTTGTTCCAGCTCAAAGTACTTATCCATTGTCCATCTTCCACTCAGGTTCTGCTGCACTAGCCTGGAGCCTACTAGGAGACAGGATCTCCGCCTGGCAAGGAGAAAGGGGCCTGGCTGCTCAGTGCCACCAAGAAGCACTGTTCTTTAATGCGTGTGGAGTTTCAGTTTTGCAAGATGAAAAAATTCTGGGGATCTGTTACACAACAATGTGAATATTCCTTTTTTCCCCAATTATATCAGTTGACATTCAATCATTATTTTATATTAGTTTCAGGTGAACAATGAATTTTTTTCTTTTAAAAACTATTATTAAAATATAGCAAACACACATTGTATTAGTTTCAGATATACCTATCATTATTTAACAATGTGAATATTCTTAAGACTACTGAACTGTGCCTTAAGAAATAGTTAAAATATTGAAAAGAAGGAGGAACACTGACCTGGTGGGCAGGGCAGGGGGTGGAGAAGCTGAGTGCTGCCACCATTTCAGGCAAGTTGTTTAACCTGTCTCCCTAGATACAAAAATAGGAATAGAAATACTCATCACCTCAGCATAGTGGGGGTGATGAGTAATGGAGGCCCTGCAGCTTCCTAGGGTGACAGCATAGAACTATGAAAATTCCAGCTTGTTTTACTTGAAAAAGTCACATGACTTAAAACATATCTGGCTTGAGTACATGTAAGACTCGCTAACACACACACTGAGTGTGTAGCATGTGCTGGACATTTAACACATATTAATTCCCTTAATCCTCACAACCACAATCCCATGAGGTCACATTGTTATCTCCAACTTACAGATGAAGAAACTGAGGCAAAGGTTAAGTAGTAACTGGCCCAGAGTCACCATGCCAGTGAGTTGTGCAGCCAAGATCTGAACCTGGAGCTCCTGCTGCTGGAAGAGGTAGCTTATAGGGATCCTAAGTAGTTTGCAACCCCACCTTGCTCTCATATCCTGTTAACCTCTCTAGAAGCTTTCTGGGGGCATTTTGGCTCGCTCATTCACTGCCATATCCCCATGGCCAGCAATGTTTGACACATGGTAAATATGTTGCACAAATGAGCTATTAACCCAATGGTTTTGGTTTTTTGTTTGTTTGTTTTTGAGTCGGTGGTAGCAACCTGTAACCCAACTCACGGTCAAAATACATCAGGAACACAAAAACTCAGTGACTCAGTTTCACTTCCAGACCCACCACCCTTCCCCTGTGCAGGCAGGCCCCCCGGGCATCAACCCGCCCCAGCCCTACACTGCCAAAGGTGGGCCTGCCAATCACTCTAAGTGGCTGAGGAAAACCGAAGGCCATTATGTAAAGCTCCTCCTCCTGCTTTCCCTCTGGCAGTTCAAACAGCACCCTTCACCCAGCTGGCCAGCCTTCCACCTCAGCTACCCTTCGTTCTTCCTCCTCCTCCTGCCTTAGCCAACTGGTCACCAAGTCCCACGGCTGTACATGTGTTTATGGGCGGCCACCCCACCACCTCAGTCCCTCAGTCTCCTCTGGTCAGATTCACTGCCTCTAGTTAATCTCCCACCAATTTATTCTCCACGCTGTCACGATCCCTCTCATGTCATTCCCCCGCTTACAAAGCTGGGATGGTCCCCCTACTATCAGATGTCACAATATCAACAGGGGATTCAGTGTCCTTCTGGACCTGGCCCAGCCTCAACTCCAGCCACCTGCCTTACAGGTGTGCCATTCTAGCCCACCAGACTTGAGTTTCCAGACTATAAAGCGCAGTTTCCACCTCCACATTTGCTTATTCTTGCCCATCTGCCCAGCGAGCTATTTCTCGTCTGAGGCAGACCTCATATGTCCTCTTTTCTATGGCTACCTGTGATCTCCCTCCCACCACCTACCCAAGGCGTTACGTCCTCATCCCTGTCTCCAAGCTCTGTACCCGACCCTCTAATACAGAGCTGCTCGCACTCAAATTACTTCCCATTGATCTCTGCGTTAGACTGAGTCCCGTGATGGACTATATCATTCACCTCTATCCCAGAGCCTACCAGAATCAGAATGCCACAGGAGGCGGCCCTCTGGGAAAGTAGCTAAAATAAATATAATCATTAGGTTCCAGAGGGATTTCTTAATGACACTGGTACGGGAGTAAACAGAGCTAAATACCACTTCCAAGAACCTTTCCAAGTGCTGTGTGTGCACTGTCTCATTTAATTCTCAGAGTAACCTGAAGAGGTAGGTACTATTATTTCCATTTTACAAATGAGGAAACGGAGGACTAGAAAGCTTAGTTATTTGCCCTAAATCCCACAACTATTAGCAGTAGTGCCAGGATGTGAACCCAGACGTCGTCATCTGACGTCTGTACACTATCCTTGGCTCTACAGACTTATGCCAGAAAATAGTTATGTTTTGGGAAACGTGATCTGACCCACAGGATAAATGAATGCACTGAAGAATGAGCCAGGCTGGAACTGAACTCTCATAGTTTTAACAACTGTCTATTCTAACAGTTTTGTATGTAAAACGTTCTACTTGAAATAAAATGGTGATAACAATCCTGTTCTGGTGGGGCTTAAAATTCAGGGCCTATTTCTTCACAATAAGGGAATAAACTCCTGTTAATATGTCTGCAATTCTTCCATTGATTTCTAATGACTAAAGAACTTTGGTCACTAAAAGGAAACGGTCTCCCTCTCCTGGTCCCCTGCATCAGAAAAAAAAAAAATGAAACCTATAGAAAAAGGGTCTACTTACCTGAGGCTTCTTACTGCATCTGTGAGGTGGGGGTGGGAGAGAGCAGGAGTGTCTTCAGAAGGCACCTCTGCCCTCTTTCCCTTGGAATGAGGATGGGAGAGGATCCTAAATAATCCCCCCCAGTTTGCTGTGGAGGAAAACCAGGCCCTTTTCCAGTTGCCTCTCCCGAGCCTCAGGATCCTCTAGTTTCTGATTTTTCCGGAACTCACGGCGAATGGAGGCAAGGTAGAAGTCCCGGTCAGTATAGCGAAGCTCTCGGCCCTGGCGCAGCAGAGCCCGGTAGAGACTGAGCACCGCCTCTCGGCTCCATGGGGCCATGGGGGACTGGGCGTCAAGCTACAAGCAGAAGGGAAAAAACAGAAGCCTAGAATCAGAATTAATGACAGAAGGGCCTACAAAGACTATCTAAACTTCAGGAGTTCTTAATCTAGGTTTCAGAGGCCCTCCCCCCACCCCTCCCCGAGTCATGCTATGACTTAGTGGCAGGGCTAGGACTAGACCCCAGCCTCTGAATCGCCCAGAAGGGCCAGGGCTTGGAAGCTGAACTGCCTGGGCTGGAACCCTGGCTCTGCCACTTACTTGCCATATGACTTTGGGCAAAGTACTTAACTCCTCTCAGCATCAGCTTCCTCACTTGTAAAATGGAGATGATATTATGCTAACAATACCTATAACACAGGGTTATTTTGAGAATTGTGCGAGATAATGCATGTAAAGCACTTGTAATAGAATTTCACCCCAGGGAGTAGTCTAGACAAGGACTCTCAGCCGCACTTGAATTCTGGCACCACCACTAGTGAACTGATTACCCTGAGCTGGTTTCTTAACTCCTCTGTGCTCAGTTTCTCATCTGTAAAATGGAGACTAAAACTGTATCCTGCCCATATGGTTGGTATAAGTAAACGAGTTAATGGATGTAAACGTGTTTAGAATTAACTAAGCACTCTATCGGGATAGCTATTACTAGTGCCACGAAGCCTGGTTTGTAAGTGCTCAATAAATATTACATTTTGTAGGGCCGGCCGAGTGGCTCAGTTGGTTAAGAGTTCGCTCAAGAGTTTGAGCTCTGAGCAACCGGTTCGATGCCCGGCCCAAGCTGAGCTGCCTGCCGCTGAGCTGCCAATAGGTAGCAGGATGGCTCAGCTAAAAAAAAAAAAAAAAAAAATTACATTTTGTTCCACATAAACTGCCACCGTCCTCCTTCAGTAACAATAAATCCTTACTACACAAGTACAGAGTATTATCATTTGCAAAGTGCTTTGTCATCCACTATAGCATTTAAATTCAGGGGCCTATGAGGTGATCAGGGCTCCTAACAATCATGAACATTTATTGTTTACTGTAGACCACGCACGTGCTAAGCTCATCCCACATAACAACTCATCTCATTCTACTGACAATCTCAGTGTCATTATCATCCCATTTTAAGTGGAGGAAACTGAAGCTCCCCGAGGGAAGTAACTTGCCCAGGCACACAGCTGTAAAGGGGGGCTGCACTCCACACCCCAACTCTGCCTGCCTCTGTAAGGCTAGTTACCACTTGCTGGGGGCCTTAAACCCTGTGCACAGCACTTCTGGGTGCTCTACAAACTTTCCCAGCACAGCGCCTGGCACATACCAGGCTCTCAAAAAACAAGCTGAATGAAAAAGGGAACTCACACAACGTCCCTATGTGGAAGAAATCATCAGAAATAAAGAAATGAGACTGAGTGAAGTAGGTATTTGACCGGTAAAGCGATCTGGACTTTGGGCCGACAGTCAAGATAGCCATCAGCCTCTGGCCTTGCTAACTTCCTGTGAGAGCTTGAGCAAGCCATTGTCCCTGTCCCTTTTTCCTCAACTGTAGAAGAGCCCAAGGGCCTCCCACAGTAGGAGACATTAATCCAGAAAATCAACCGGAAAAGTGCTTTACGAGGTAGGAGGCGACTGTCACGCGAGTGCTGTTACTACCAAGTCTCCCGGCGAGCGGGCGGCTGCGCCCTGGCGGGTCCCCAGTTCCAACCCGGACCCTGGGGGGCCGGGGGAGGGGGTTGGGCCGAGTCGGGGTGAGGAGACCCCGAAGCTGGGACAGGTCGGCTCGGGGGGCTCGGGAGGCCTCCGAAGGCTGGTGAGGGGCCACGGCGCGGCCTCGCAGAGAAATGCCCAGGGAGGGCTGGGGCGAGACCCCCGGCGGCCCGGACGGTAGCCCCGGGCTGTTTGGGGGGCGCGGGCCGCGGCCCTGAGCGTTGGATCGGCGAGCACCGGCCCCCGGCCACCACACTCACCCGCGGACTGCGCGCGCTACCACTCCTCGGGATTCACCTCTCGCCCGGTACCTCTCCCCGGGTCACCCACCAACATGGCCCCTTTACTTCCGGGACACGACCTTGTACGCGAACTTCCGGCCCTCCCCGCCGCGGCCTCTCTCTGGGCGGGGCCAGAAACGTCATCAGGCCACGCCCGTCGAATGGGTCCTGCCCACATCACTGAGCTCCGCCTCCTGCGTGACGTCACCTATGGACTGGCCTGTTGAAAGCGTTCCGGCCCGGTTCCTCCCAGGGCTGCGGTGCGGTGGCGAAGCTCGCAAAGTGCAAGATCGCAGGCGGCTTTCGGTAGGTCCCCAGCCGCCTGTCAGGAAGTCAGGCCAGACCCCAGCACCGCCTGCTGATCTCGGGCGGGGGCCATGGGGGTACCTGGGGGAATTCTAACACTAATAATATTTCCTATCATGGCTTTCAAGCTCTTCCAAGCCCATTTTCACAGATGGCTTTGTTTTCAACCCTTCGTGCTGTTCCAGCTTCCCAAGCCCCTTGGTCCTGGCAAACTCCTTCAAGGTCCACCTCACGTGTCCCCTCCAGAAGTCTTTTCCAGCCTCTTCCTTGCCCCTCATCCAACACATTTGGGTGCCTCCCCTGGGCCCCACAGAAACATCTGCAACCTGTTAGGGCTGTTAAGCTGGTCAAAGAAAAACATACTTATTGGCACCTGTTATTTGCCAGGCACTGTTTTTTAATTTGCCACTGGCTTCCCTGTCTCTCACCAGATTTGAAGGCAGGAGCCATGTCTGATGGAACCTGTAAGGCCTGGTGCCTCACTGGGTGCCCAGCTCTGAGTGAAGCCAGAGAGTGTTGGGCTTTGGAGTCAGGCCCAGCTGGCTCCCATTTCCAGCTCCATCACTTAAGGACAGCTGCCCTAAGCATTTCCTAATCTCTCTCAGCCCAGGACTGTTGCGAGGATTCAAAGGTATCTAGCAGGAGGGGGTGGGCATTTATGGAGTAGTTGCCCAACCATTCATTTACTGATGTAACAAATCCTTGTTGAGGGTCTCTAGTGTGCAAAGCATCACCACAGGCATTGCAGGGAACAGAGATCAAGCCCCAGTCTTCTGGTGGCTCTACTTCCAGGATCTGACTGCTCCCGTCCTCACCGCCACCTCCCTGGTCTGAGCCCCTACCTGATTTTATAGATGAGAAAACCAAGACTGTGGAGAGGTTCTGTAATTTCTCTAAGACACTGAGCTAGGCAGCAGAGAAGCTCGCGTGGAACCTAAGTCTGTCTGACTCCGAAACGTGTGTTCTTTCTACTCTTCCAGGCTGCCCTACTTTGCTCTTTAAAGAAATAATTTTATGACCTAAATAAATCTAAATGGTGACATTTCCAGCTAAAAGACCAGGTGACCTTCCGCACCTCTCCTGATTCTGCTGTTGTGTGGAATATTATTTTTAGGAGGGAGGGAGGGAGGGAGAGAGGTCCCTTGGGGGTCTGCCCTTCAGATCAGCTCCCCCAGACTCTTCTACTTCCATGGCAATGGCGGGGGAGCAGGGGCAGTGAGGCAGGCGTCTGGCACCCATATGTACCCCTGGTGACCCCAAATCTCAGGGCTCTGCTGGGTTTGGCGGGACAAGGGGCCTTCTGGATTTCTCTGACTAATATTCCAATTTTGACATAACCCCTGGTCTCACATGTGGATGATGGCAATGGCCTTGAGGGCGATAGGGAAGTGCTTGTTCAACAGAACAGTCACTTGCATATAGTAGGCATTAAATTGTGGAATGAATGAATGAACATTTTACAGAAATAGAGAGGGCTGGGGCAAGATGGACAATTTCCCCTGAGTCAGGCTGGTCAAGTCCAGTCTAATTTGAAAGGGGCATATGGGGTGATAGTGAGCAGGGGGCAGGTGATTTAAGCTTTGGGTGCCTTGGTTTCCTCATCTGTGAATTGGACAAAAATAGATAAAACATTTTTGCTGAATGACCCATGAGAACCAACACTATTGTTCCCGATGTATTAACCAAGTAGTCACTCGTTCACCACTTTGAAAGCACCTAGTATGAGCCAGGACTAGAGTCAGGAATGTAGAAATAAAACACACAGTTCTTGTCCTCAATAAAACCAGGGTCGAGGAAGGAGACAGACAAGTACACAGATAGGTACTAGGAAAAAAGCCTTCTCAGCTACTGTGGAACCAGAAGAGCCTGTGACCCAGTGCAGAAGCAGGGGGCTGGGCACCACTTGGCTTGAGCACAAGGTATGGAGGCGAGGGGGTGAGACACAAGGCTGGACAGGTGAGCATCCTGAGGTAGCCCAGGGAGGAAGTGATAGCCAGCAAGGTGTGCTTCAGGCTGCTGCACCAGCACCTCTAGTCTAGAGTCAGTGCTGAATTCCAGCTCTGCCTCCTGATGGCTGGGTGACCTTCAATAAGGTTCTCAACCTTTCTGGGGCCTTGATTTCTACACTCGTAAATGGGGACTAATTAAAGTACCTAAGCAATCAGACCTTGAAATTGACTCATGCTAACTAAAATGGAGGGAGAGATAAGCAGGTCAAGTGGATTTCTGCGATGAGAATTACAACTATGGCTGGGGCTTTAGGGAGCTCACCAGGTGATGGAACGGGAGCAGGAGCAGTCCAGGCAGAGAACGGGGTCATGGCTCATTGGAGAGCTCAAAGGACTAGAGCCCAGAGAATTCAGGACAAGAGGCTCAAGAGGAGACTGGTGAGGAAGGCAGGGCCCAGCAGGCCACAGCTGGGGATTTGGCCCTGATCCAACTGCAGTGAGAAGTCCGTGCCATGGTCAGACTTGCATCTTGGAAAGAGCATCCTGACTGCTTTCT